TTACAAAACTAGCTATATTTCAATGGTTTATTCTTTAGTTACAAAGCTAGCTATATTTCAATGGTTTATTCTTTAGTTACAAAGCTAGCTATATTTCAATGGTTTATTCTTTAGTTACAAAGCTAGCTATATTTCACTGGTTTATTCTTTAGTTACAAAGCTAGCTATATTTCAATGGTTTATTCTATAGTTACAAAGCTAGCTATATTTCACTGGTTTGTTCTTTACTTACAAAACTAGCTATATTTCAATGGTTTATTCTTTAGTTACAAAGCTAGCTATATCTAACTGGTTTATTCTTTAGTTACAAAACTAGCTATATTTAACTGGTTTATTCTTTAGTTACAAAGCTAGCGATATTTCACTGGTTTATTCTTTAGTTACAAAACTAGCTATATTTCATTGGTTTATTCTTTAGTTACAAAGCTAGCTATATTTAACTGGTTTATTCTTTAGTTACAAAACTAGCTATATTCACTGGTTGATTCTTTAGTTACAAAACTAGCTATATTTCATTGGTTTATTCTTTAGTTACAAAGCTAGCTATATTTAACTGGTTTATTCTTTAGTTATAAAGCTAGCTATATTTCACTGGTTTATTCTTTAGTTACAAAACTAGCTATATTTCATTGGTTTATTCTTTAGTTACAAAGCTAGCGATATCCGTTTCTTAACTAAATGCAAGGTTGTGAAAGAAAATATATCAATTTTTTGGCTGATTTTAGACAAATGTTTTAAGTTTTATGTAAGAAAACTTTGGTAGTCGAAAGCACGTTTCTGAAAAATGTACAAAACGTTAGTAAGTTTGCTTTTTGTATGTTATGTTATCTTTGACCTTTGTGTAGTGTTAATAGCATTTGGAAGACGAACGTTCACAGATATAACTCGATAACTCCGAAGTTCCAAACTTTTTTTAAGGTTCTCTACTATAAACATATTCCAATCTCTAGCGTAAATCACCAAGAAGTAATTTATAAAACGTCTTTTCACAGGTGAATATAGCAATACAGTAAAAACTTACTATCTTTTGACAAATGGTGTCATTTCCAGAATTGGATTACATTTTGAAAATTGCAAGAATAATCGTTCATTTCTGGTGACCATATATTTCACTCCAGCTCCTTTGTTTCGTGTGGAGCTGTGAAGTAAGGAAATGATGATGAAGCTTACTTTACTGCCAGAATGTATTGATCACTACCAATCATTAACACGTGTCTGTAAATTAAAGTTTTTTCGTGTCAACTCAGCATTATAATAACAGAGATCGGATTTGTTACGAGTTAGAATTACTTCCAGATACATGTGTACAAACTAAACATCCATAACCTGGACATTACACATAAACACAACATCACTTAGAAAATGAACATACACAGAGTTCACATCATCCACAAGTAAAATATTCACAGACTCTACACCATCTATAAGCTATACATCACTCACGCTTTCGACCGTTTCTGGGACGTTTATCAGAACGAATTTCCCGGAATCTGTTGCAGACATGGTGTCATATATAAATGTGTCCATGTATTCCCATTTGTCACATGCTAGACACCGCTCATATAAGTTTCGATAATTTGTCCTTCATTCCAATATTGCTTTTGAATAAATTTGCGAACCAAGCTCCTGTGATACTTTTGTAGACCTATATCATTTCAACTGTCTTGTTTACAGTTTCAAAGGAAGTTTTTATTATAGATAAAATGGACTATTGTATCCTTGGATTGTTTCCAGTGGGAAGCTGCTTCATCCTCTACTTCTGGTGTATGACTGGTAGCCGGTCGTGCAGTAGCCTGTTTTACCCTTGCTGGAGTCACGTTACAGTTCAACTCTAGATATCCCCTTCTCCGAAATACCAAAAGTTCACCCTTTATATCATTCATTATCATGGAGTTTTGGAAAGTCATCCTTCTCTGAGAGGTGGAATCTACACTTGACACCCCACCCCCACCTTCAAGTGAATCCCAATAAGAGGGGCAGGGCTTTTAACCTGTGTTATCGCATGACGTCGAACAAGATGATCGGATTTGTTAGTTGTTACTTTTTTATTATAATAGCTCAAGAGTTAGCTTGACACGTTGCTTTCCTCTAGTCTATCAGTTCTGATGGTCCTTATTTAGCTTTGTGCGAATATCTGAAAAAAAAAAAGACAAATCTGATCTCATACAGCTGTAAAGAACAAGACAAACATTAGATCACCTGACCAAGGAATCATTGAGTTGTTCGGAGAGTATGACGTGTGATGTTTCCATAGCAACGAAATGAAAGGTCTAATTACAACGGCACATATAAAAAGCCGATACGACCTCTCACTCCCTCTAAAAAATAAAATTCTTTCAGTAACTCAAAAACGAATTTGGGATATAAAAATGAAATGAAAAGTATTTCTCACACTCATGGCTTCTCGTTTGACTTCTATTTCTATTAAAAAACAACGTTTTTTCTGTTCCTTAAAGGGAAACGATCTTCAATTTCTAGACAGTAGATTATATAGTAATCTGGACTTAACAGAGACAATAGTACACTGATTATATAGTAATCTGGACTTAACATAGACAGTAGTACACTGATTATATAGTAATCTGTACTTAACATAGACAGTAGTACACTGATTATATAGTAATCTGGACTTAACATAGACAATAGTACACTGATTATATAGTAATCTGGACTTAACATAGACAATAATACACTGATTATATAGTAATCTGGACTTAACATAGACAGTAGTACACTGATTATATAGTAATCTGTACTTAACATAGACAGTAGTACACTGATTATATAGTAATCTGGAATTAACATAGACAGTAGTACACTGATTATATAGTAATCTGGACTTAACATAGACAGTAGTACACTGATTATAGAGTAATCTGGACTTAATATAGACAGTAGTACAGTGATTATAAGTAATCTGGACTTAACATAGACAGTAGTACACTGATTATATAGTAATCTGGACTTAGCATAGACAGTAGTACACTGATTATATAGTAATCTGGACTTAACAGGGACAATAGTACAATGATTATAGAGTAAACTGGACTTAAAAGAGACAGTATTACACTGATTATAGAGTAATCTGGACTTAACATTGACAGTAGGACAGTGATTAATTAGTAATCTGCAATTAGCATACAGTAGCACAATGATTATAGAGTAATCTGGACTTCGCGTAAACAATAGTACAATTATTATAGAGTAATCTGGACTTAACATAGACAGTAGGACAGTGATTATAAAGTAAACTGGACTTAACATAGAAAGTAGCACACTGATTATATAGTAATCTGGATTTAACATAGACAGTAGTACACTGATTATATAGTAATCTGGACTTAATATAGACAGTAGTACACTGATTATATAGTAATCTGGACTTAACAGGGACAATAGTACAATGATTATAGAGTAAACTGGACTTAAAAGAGACAGTATTACACTGATTATAGAGTAATCTGGACTTAACATAGACAGTAGGACAGTGATTATAAAGTAAACTGGACTTAACATAGAAAGTAGCACACTGATTATAGAGTAAACTAGAATCAACTTACATTTTGCTGCTACGTACGTAGTGACTACATGGTTGTTTGATAAAAGCTCTTTCTTATATACATGGTGTCCCAGAAGGTTAGACCCATAGGGTTAATACAGGGTGTCCCAGAAATCTAGACCCATAGGGTTAATACAGGGTGTCCCAGAAGTTTAAACCTATAGGGTTAATACAGGGTGTCCCAGAAGACTAGACCCATAGGGTTAATACAGGGTATCTAAGAATTCTGGATCCATAGAGTGAATACAGGGTGTTCCAGAAGTCTGGACCCATAGAGTTAATATAGGGTGTCCGAGAAATCTGGAACCATAGGGAAAAATACACAATTTATTCTTAGTTTATTTATTAATCAAATTGCATGCCTATTAACAGCCATATACATATCAATTCTTGATATACTGTGACATCAGGGTATTTTATTTCCTGAAATATGTACAACTGAAATTAGAAATGTGTTTCTTGAACTTTAAGAATATAATGTTTATTTTCCTACAGGTCCAGACTTCTGGGACACCCTGTATTATTAAATCTGCTCGTATTGAAGAAGCAGTCGGTTCGATAAAGCCTCTTTCCTGCGTATCAATGAAATAATGACCACTTTTAGGAAGTGTTAGATCTTGGAACTTAACGAACAATGCCTATTGTCTTCTGAAGAAAAGTTACTTGTGGATTTTCGAGTTTAGATATTTCGTCGTGAAGAGTGTTCTTTAAAGGCTTGAGCAGCACGTGCTGTTGAATCATTCGAAAAATCGAACTGAATAAGTAAAAAAAAAACAAAGGGAAAATCGATGAAACGTTCCCTCTTTCTCTTTTTTTTCTTCTCAGTTCAAATATCAAATTTACGACTCGAATTTTCTACTAAGTACTCCACTATCGAATATACTTTTACTGCAAAAAACAAACAAGAGTTGTTAACAAATATTTAATCTAGTTTCCGCGACAGAGATGTAAGTTATGAGTAAATATTTCCTCTTTCTTTATCAGTAAAGGACAGAACTAACGAAATATCTCATACTCGAGTATGTAACAACGTCTATTGTTATCTTGATTTTGTTGTCACTCACTCTGGTTGACAGTTACACTGGCTGTCACTCAGTCTGGTTGACAGTTACACTGGCTGTCACTCACTCTGGTTGACAGCTACACTAGCTGTCACTCAATCTGGTTGACAGCTACACTGGCTGTCACTCACTCTGGTTGACAACTATTTTAACACTGTCTACCGAGCTGGTAAATACACGAGCTTGAGAACATAAATGTTTCGTGGAGTAATGATATTTTCTAACTGTTAATGAACCAAGACGTTTAGTGTCTAACTTTTATATAAAGAACAATCATTCAAACATTTTTATAGTTTCATCTGTGTACTTGCTACAAACCAGTTAGTCTTTACTCTCTCTGTGCTTACGATAAGATATTAACAAAGTTGTTCTCTTTTCTAGAAGTTTTGAAGAGCTTCTTAAGAAGACATATTTGGCAGGTAAGTTTAAATAACTTTTACATTTTTACTGAATTTGATATACTATCCTAGGCTTAGGACGATAAAGCTGTAATTCAAATGGACACTGGTGCTGTGTCTGATGTATATAGTTTATATATCTAGACATGTAAAAAACAATACATCTAGACTTGTAAAACTACACATCTAGACCTGTAAAACTACATATAAAGACCTATAAAAAACCTATAGATCCAGACCTTTAAAAACTACACATCCAGAACTGTAAATTTCAGTTATTTGGTTAAGAAAAAAACATCAGAAAAAAAATCTTTATTTAGTCATCTATAAAACAAAGTATTAGAAAGCTATGATAGAGGGCGTCTTATTGTGTTCAACTAAGTTTAAGAGCTGATGTTATTCTAGACGATATCATCACAATATTTGTCTTTCTCCAAACGTGAACTTGTTTTTACCATTTTAGAATACTACATCCCTGTAATTAGATTTATAAAAGCTTTTATTTGGTTCAGATAAAAATCCAACTAATCCCAAATGAGCAATTACCGTTTTCAAAACATATAAAATCCTGTTATCAGATGCTGATGTTTCACTTTCCAGTCGATCGTCCTTGTCTAAAAACTGATTCACTTTATTCTTAAAACAGAAGAGAACGAATTTGTTGCCCTCTAGCGGTCACTAGAAAACTGAGTATATAGTTTTTAATATAAGTAAAATAGTGTAATCATGTATGACCTGTAGAAAAGTTGAGCTATTGGACGTGTTTGATAAAAGACCCGGCTTTGTCTTACTGTTTAAAAATAATAAACACCTTATCCTACACAACTTATACAGGTGATAGTCTTGATAAGCTTGGACGATAAGATGTACCAATATTTCAGTGTAGTCTACACACGTGATAGTCTTGGAAGATCAGATGTAACAATATTTCAGTGTAGTCTACAAACGTGATAGTCTTGGAAGATCAGACGTAACAATATTTCAGTGTAGTCTACACACGTGATAGTCTTGGAAGATAAGATGTAACAATATTTCAGTGTAGTCTACAAAAATCTCTAACTCAGAACTTTATAACTTGTTTACTGTGAGTTACAAGGATAACCGTCCAACAAGATACTCTCTCACTCAGAACTTTAAAGGTTGTTTACAGTTAGTTACAAGATAATCTCTCACTCCGAAAGTAACATCAAAATAAAGTGAGTGCTCATTGTTGTAGGATAGTCAAAAGGTTTTTGAAAAATATAATAAAGACAATTTATGCTTGAAAATGGTACCCTGTTTGAAGACAATATTTTGTTAACATTATTAAGATGTCATTAAGGCTGCAAAAGAATTAACTTTGTTAACGAGAAGGAAATTTAATTGTTTAATCCACTTATCCTATTAAAGCAATTAGCCACCCTGTTTGAAATCAATTAGTTAATTACATAAGGCAGGGAAATACACGGGGAGATAATGGGAGAGAGTTCCTGTAGCATTCAGTTCGGGGGTCGTTACATCAGCTCGCTAGACTACACTGAAATATTGTTACATCTGATCTTCCTAGACTATCACGTGTGTAGACTACATTGAAATGTTGTTACATCTGATCTTCGAAGACTATCACGTGTTTACAGTTAGTTACAAGGATAACCGTCCAACAAGATCAAGTTTTTACAGTTAGTTACAAGGATAACCGTCCAACAAGATAATCTCTCACTCAGAACTTTATCAGGTTGCCAACAAGATAATCTCTCACTCAGAACTTTACTGTTAGTTACAAGGATAACCGTTAAAACAAGTTCTAAAGTTCTGAGTGATAGATTATCTTGTTGGACGGTTATCCTTGTAACTAACAGTAAACAACCTGTAAAGTTCTGAGTGAGAGATTATCTTGTTGGACGGTTATCCTTGTAACTAACTGTGAACAACCTCTTGAGTATAAGATAATTATTTTAACAGTAGTGTTTCGACATTGCTTGTTATTTTCTTGAGATCCTAAGTGCTAGGACCTGCTCTCTTAATAATTGATACTTTGTTGTATTCGTTTTCATCTGTTTGAACGTGCTGGTTGTTTTATCCCCATTTAGCTAATTAAGGCTTAGTTTGTCTTATACACATTGGTGAGTTGTTTCTTACATTTAATATATTTTCATGTTTTATAGTTCCGCCGTTCAGATCAATATTTCTCGACGGTTTCAAGCCAAATGAAAGTTTAACTGAATAGAATATTTCCAAATGGATGTTTTAATTTTTTTCCATAGTGTTTGTGCTGCGTGTATTATACTCTTTCTTTACTCAGATTAATAAATATTATTAATTAATTTGTCTGTTTTCTCCTATAAACATGAAGCCTTATCTATCATTTATTCACCACACGTATATATATGATATATATATATATATATCACAATGTATTAAGTTTCGTTTTACTTAATACAATGAACGTATGTTTAAAAGGGGTTTTGAAGAATATGTTTTTATTCGAACTATCTTTCTTTATCATGTAAATGAGCAAGTCTCGTCATGTATATAACTTACAAACTTGTAGGTGATCCTGCTGACGTGTAAATGTGATTTTCACATACTATTTCTCCTACTAAAGCTACGTTCCTTTTATCTGAACGATAGGTTTGTTTTGAATATCATGATTACAGAAAAGCAGCTTAACGTCAGTGAAATTAACTGCAATTATACCAAGATAATTAGTTAATTATTATCAAGAAACATATAATATATAAACACAACACTAATCTTATGTCGTACTTCAAAATTAGAAACCAGGACTTAGGCACAGTCTTGGCTTTTCAATCCGGGTCCTTCAGGGAAAGGATCAGAGTAGCGAGAAATAAAGGATTAAAAACAGCCTTGACGATTTAGAAGATTAACCTTCTAACCCGAGTCAATAGAGAAAAACAGCCAATGAAACCAATCGATAATCGAACACAGTTCCGGTGGAATAACAAATAACACAATGCTTTCTCTATTACTGATATGTGTTTCGTAGCGTTATGTAGTAATCCAACGTTCTTTACCATATTTCCTTCAGATAGTTTCATACTCAACCATGATGTTTTTACCTTACTTCGTTAACATGTTTTAACATTAAACTACCTTATGTTTTAACAATGTTATAATAATGTAGTAATCCAAGGTACTTTACCTTATTAACTTCAGATAGTTTCATACTCAACCACGATGTTTTTACCTTACTTCGTTAACATGTTTTAATATTAAACTACCTTATGTTTTAACAATGTTTTAATAATGTAGTAATCCAAGGTACTTTACCTTATTAACTTCAGATAGTTTCATACTCAATTACAATGTTTTTCAGGACGACACGACAATCTTCTACTGTTGTTTTATGTACTCGCCTAACTTTACTGCTTGATATTCCGCCAGTCGTACGTTCTATTTCAGGATGACACGACAATCTTCTACTGTTGTTTTATGTACTCGCCTAACTTTACTGCTTGATATTCCGCCAGTCGTACGTTCTATTTCAGGATGACACGACAATCTTCTACTGTTGTTTTATGTACTCGCCTAACTTTACTACTTGATATTCCGCCAGTCGTACGTTCTATTTCAGCACGACACGACAATCTTCAACTGTTGTTTTATGTACTCGCCTAACTTTACTACTTGATATTTCGCCAGTCGTACGTTCTATTTCAGGACGACACGACAATCTTCTACTGTTGTTTTATGTAATCTTTTCTTTTAAGTTCGATATTTATGGAGACCAGTAAGAGAAAAGTGAATGTTATATTTTTATAAATCTCTTCTTGGACTTAAAGTAAATATGGTTCTTTAAGGGTAATTAGGGTTAAATAATTTGCACGAGATGTATAGAAAGCCATTTCACCTCGGCGTGTATATTTTACAGATCTTATTTGGCGTAATTCGCATATTTTCGGTCGTTACCACATAGTTGTTTTTTGTCGATACGTTATGGTAGTGACTTCATTACTACTTTTAACGTGTGTTATTTTACTCCCAGGCATAAAGGAAGAGATACTTTCGAATTATTACTCAGTTTCAGATGAAGTGCACGTGATGTTCGTTCAAATCAATATTAAGGACTAATCTGTGAGATCTCCTAGCGTGATTGAAACTACAACTAGTTAATTAACTTCTTCAGTTAATAAAGCCAGAGCGCCATCTTTCCTAAGTTTGTAGTTATTTTAGTTTAATAATGATTTTTTATGATAATTAATTTTCTGATTTGAAGAGAAAACATTTTACTTAATCAAATAAACAATGATGATTTTTCCTGAAATCAAGACATTTTGTATTAACCTCTTCTTCTAAGATCAGAAGATTTTGTACTAACCTCTTCTTCTGAGATCAGAATATTCTGTTTTAACCTCTCCATCTAAGATCAGAAGATTCTGTCTTAACCTCTTCCTCTAAGATCAGAAGATTCTGTCTTAACCTCTTCTTCTAAGATCAGAAGATTCTGTCTTAACCTCTTCCTCTAAGATCAGAAGATTCTGTCTTAACCTCTTCTTCTAAGATCAGAAGATTCTGTCTTAACCTCTTCCTCTAAGATCAGAAGATTCTGTCTTAACCTCTTCTTCTAAGATCAGAAGATTTTGTCTTAACCTCTTCCTCTAAGATCAGATCTCTAGTTAACACCGTGACATAGCAGAGCATTGAAAATGTAACATAATATTGAAATTATAACATAGCATAACACTGAAAATACAGCATATAATTGAAAATACACAGAGCAAAACAGTGAAAATATTACATAACATATCACTGAAAATATTACGTAGCATAGCACTGAAAATAAGTACGTAATGTATATCTACATAGAAATAGACTCTATATCAACCATCTGTTCCTGTAGCTTACGTATATACACCTGATATAATAAATCATGTTGTCCTTAAAGAAAATTAATTCAAAGCAGAGAATGAATATTTGACGTGCAGCGACATCTACCGTCTCAAACACTCCCTACCTATTAACATGTATCCTGACTGTTTAGTAAAGTAATAATAGTATCCTTGAATTCGATATAGAGATTGTGTTACGTTTGTTTGTTTTTTTTCATCTTTCAGGTACGTTATGAACCAAGACGACACCAATATAAAAGATAACGGGCTTTGTCGGTGTGGCTCTCAGAAACCCCCAAAGAAAAATAAAAAGGTATTACTTTTTCTTTAAAACTAGTCCCTTATATCTATAAGTGAAGAAATATACGTCATTTTAGGATATAAATCAAACACTAAAACCCATACTTACCCAGACTATCTTAAACAAACCCATAGTTACCGAAACTATATTAAACAAACCCATAGTTACCCAAACTATCTTAAACAAACCCATATTTATCCAAATATATTAAACAAACCCATAGTTACCCAAACTATCTTAAACAAACCCATAGTTACCCAAACTATCTTAAACAAACACGTAGTTACCAAACTATCTTAAACAAACCCTAGTTACCCAAACTATCTTAAACAAACCCATAGTTACCGAAATTATCGTAAACAAACGCATAGTTACCAAACTATCTTAAATAAACCCAAAGTTACCGAAACTATCTTAAACAAACCCATAGTTACCGAAACTATATTAAACAAACCCATAGTTACCCATACTATCTTAAACAAACCCATAGTTATCCAGATTATCTTGAACAAACCCATAGTTACCTATACTCCGCCTCGACAGCAGTGCGTGTGATATAGGAGACTCACTTATTTAGGGGGGGGGGAGGCATATTTTAGAAAAGGTAACCGAAATCAATTAATTAGTATTCACTACTATTACACGTCACTGTGCAATAATTATTCAATAATAAAACAGCGGATTATTATGAAACATTTTCATGAATGTAGTTCTACTGATTAGTTTTTCATTGTTATTATTAAGGTAATTGAAACCTTTACGTCTGAGCCACTTATCATTGTTATTGCTTTTAGATTAAATTGTATTCCGTTTTAGCTTTTGATTTGTGTTTGCCATATAGTTTTTTATATCAATTTGAAATCTGAAAGTGGAGGATGGGGCACACGTATGGGAAAGGCACTGACTAACTACAAAAATAGACAAGATTGTCTCAAAACAGCCTTACAGAACATTTATCGCTGTCGTTTCCGAAATCACGTGACATTACTTTAATCGTGAGGAAAGAACGGTGAAATTAAGTACAAAACATTTCAACTTAATCCACATCTTACCCTTTATATCTTCAATCCTGCTTGACCTTGAACAACACAGATCCATCTGTTTATAATCCTACGTTTTTGTTGCTTCTTTCACGATCATTAAAGTTATCAATAATATTCCACAACAATGACACTAATAATGATTCAGATCTTATTGTACTTTTCACAACTATGAGGCTAGTGATGATTCAGATCTTATTTTACATTCCACAACTATGAGACTGGTGATGATTCAGATCTTATTTTACATTCCACAACTATGAGACTGGTGATTATTCAGATCTTATTTTACATTCCACAACTATGAGACTGGTGATGATTCAGATCTTATTTTACATTCCACAACTATGAGACTGGTGATGATTCAGATCTTATTTTACATTCC